GGTCTCTAAGAATATCATCCAAATCCCATTCCCTTTTTGGGCATAAGCAAACTACCCGAAGCTTTGTGCAGATGACCTGCTCCCCCTAATACTTTGCTCCGCCAAATAAATGTGTTCAAGTCTTGCTATAATTAGGTAGTTGTGAGTGGGCGTGTAACTTTCACAACAAACCGCCCACCTTCAGCAAGACTCCTTGAAGGATACACCTAAGACTCACTTGCTACATGTAGAAACTCTTGAAACAGCTGGTAAAGGTGGCGTTCAAAACGCCGCAACGTGTATCCGTTGAGGAACCCAATTCAGCTCCCTCCAGAGAGCTCGGTCACATTCAGCCAAGCGGCCCTCAATGACCTCCACGCCTAAACCGGACGTTTCAATTTCACCCGGGTCCCTGCTCCGTGGGGGCCCGTCTTCCCCCCACACAAAACAACACAAAGAAACAAGTGTCTCCGTGTGTTGGGTGTTGATTCCTGCTCAACTACGGCTTTCTCTCTTCTTCTTTCTTCTTTTTTTTTTGGGGGGGGGCAAAGTTCCTGGTGTGAACTGGGGGGGGTGGTGTGAACACCCCCAGCACAAAAGATCGGTTAACATTGGATCCAAATGTGATGTGCTAACCACCAAACATGAGGCTGTTCTTTCATATACTTTTGCAGCGGCGGGGGGTGTCCGAGGCCCACCATTGCCTCTTAGACAAGCGCTGCAACAGGTTTGGGCAAAGCAAACAAAGCGGGGCGCCGGGTTTGGCTCCGGGTTTGGCTCCGGGTTTGGCTCCACTCTGGACCTACCTGGGCAAAGACCTCCAAACTTTCAGCAAGCCGATCTGCTCCTTTCGAAGGTATACTTCTTCTGTTTTGGGCGGTCCCCTTCCAATTCATTCCACAAACCTCAAAGGATTCCTGAGAACCAACAGAGGCAAAGGCATTCACTCACTGGCGGTGTGCCTTCTTTCTTCCAGCCGTTGAGGTACACAGTGTTCAGCCTGGCCACCTCGATGCAACCAAAAAATCGGCACCCAGTGGCTGCGCTGTGCTACCCAACCCTGATGGAATCAAACCCAATGGCTTGCAAAGCTTGAAGGAAACTCAGCTTTTCTTTATGGAAGTCTCCCTGCAAGCAGACGGTCTGATTGCTTCCCTGGAAAAGGAAAACGAAAGGACCCAAACCAACAGGGGGCTGACTTAGAGGAAACTGAGACGGCGTTCAGCACCAACTATAATAATACGAAGCAAACTACCCTCCCATACCACCTGACAGGGGGTTTCGTTAAGAGGAAACTGATCTTCCAGCTACCATCCCCCACAGGTGCTGTGTTGGCACGTACCTCATACGCATCCCTTTGAGTCACATATCACACACCCATTGCCTTTTGATGCGGGCAAACAAACGCCTCTGAAAGCTAGCGGCTAGCGCTTTGTGCAGGGCAAAAGAATCTAAGCGTGCCCGAACGCACGGTCTTGCCACCAGGCATTTCCGCCCAAATATGGTACGTACCCTTTGGCCTAAACTTGGGTGTGCCCACAGGAGTCGCAATCAACACCTGGTATTAAAATGGTCTACCAAAAACAAGTGAAGAATGAAAAGGCGGCTGCACCCATTTCTGGTTGGGACTATCCCTCACCAACCTTCACTTGCCCGGGTTTTGATTCTGCCTCACTTCTTTTTACCCCTTCCTGCAACCGCCTGACATGGTCCGCAAATCCCCCCCCCCGGCCGGCCGCCGGCCCTGGGCGAATCGGGTTGGATCAGAGTGGCGTACTTGTCCCGGCGCTGCTTCAGCACGTCCCAGTGCACGGTGCCCGCGCTCTCCGGCACCGTGATGCCGTAGCCCTCGGGGGAAAAGAACGGGTTGGGACAACTTGGATGGAAGGATGTCCTATTCAATTCTTCCATGGCGCTGTTTGTGTGTCAGTAATCATTTTGAGGGTACTATTTTGAGAGAAGCCCATTTTGCTTAGGACAATTCCCCTGAGCATCATTTTGACTGGCAGATGCACCCACAAATGAATGCATGAACTGTGTCAGCCACCCGTGTTGTGGCCTTTTTCACCTTGGTCCGAAGGGAAGCCCAAAGGAACAAACACAACAATTTTGAGGGTGCCCTATTTTTACACATTCCATTTCGAGGGTTCACATGAAGATTTGGATGTTCACCATGGTCATAAGTGGGGCAATTGCGGTTTATCCCTACCATGGTTGTACCCTGGTAAGCGGATGAAACATCCAACAAGCCGACGAAATTGTGGTCCGATGAGCATGTGGCAACATCAGACAAAAATCGGCAAACAACAGGGGACCCCTTGGGCAAAAAACTATAGGACACCAAAGTGCCAGGCAACAAGTAGGGCAGGGGATGAGAACAACGTGCCCCAATAGGCGGGCTGCATCAGCTTCCCGTGACTGTAAAACCACCCCAAAAAGGGCACCCTGAAAAGGGACGCATCTTCAAACGCCAGGTCCTTGTTACCCTCTGGCTTGGCTTTGCAACCGTTGCCATGGTTTGGGCATCGCAGGGATGGGAGAATACAAGCAGGGGTCTTGGTCAGGCTTCCTTCAAGGTCACCTCCAAAATCCACCTTCACCTGTAGGGATCTTCTTAGTCACTAGTTGGGTGAAACGTCTCAAGTTGGACCCAGGGCTGCCAGGGCCAGGTCCTTTTGACCCCGGCGTCAACCCTCGGAGTCCGGGTGAAATGTTGCGGTCGCCTTGGCCGTGGCCACCTTGCCCACCATCATCTCCCGGTGGGCCGCCGCCATGAACATCAGCTTCTTCCTCTCGGGGCGCCCACCGGCGCCCCCCCCCCCCCCACGGTTTCTTTTTCAAACCCCCCGCGCGATTTTTCTGCCCGAGGGCGCGGGAAGGGAGAGATGCAGCTGTGAAGATTCAGGCGGAGATGAAGGCAAGCGGCGAGTCAGCACTTGGAAGAAGCCGCCAAGTCACCCACTCGACAGGAAGTCGCACAATCCCCACAAAATCATCAACCATCCATCCGCCAGCTATCTGCCAACTCTCTGCCAACGATCTAGCGGCTGTCCGCCAACTAAAAAACAATATCACCCAGCTGCCTGTTTGCCAACCTTCTTGGAAGCGCAAAGCTGCCGGCTCTTCAAAATGTTGGCAAGGCTTCAAGTTTCCTATCACGTGTTTTCCTCGAACAGAGAAAGATTCTTCCAGATTGGTTCATCAACTCTTGAAGAAATCATTGGGGAACAACACTGACCTAAGCGCGCTTTTCAGTGTGAGTTCAACCTGACTAGGATAACAGCAATTGATCCATAGGGCGCTAAATCATTCAATTCAGTTAGAATATATTTCTCCGGGGCGTGACTCGGTTGCGACCAGGACTATGACCTACAAAGGCCTTAATAGTCCTGCAATACTTAGAATCAGGTCGTGGGAACTATTAAACCAAATTGCCTCATACTCAAGAATACTGTTTGTGTAGAAAAGGCCGCTTCTGTCATGGAGTGTCCCAAGTCCCCAAGTCCCCAAGTCCCCAAGTCCCCAAGTCCCCAAGTCCCCAAGTCCCCCCGACTTGGGTTTGCCTCAAAATAAACAAATCCAACAAATGATCGTGTTCCTTTCGACTTCCCTTTCAACCCCCCCCCCAAAAAAAAAAAGGTCTCCTTCCGACTCCTTCCGTCGCTTCCGATCGATCCGCCGAGCTGCGGGACGCAGCCCACGTTCACGCAGGTCCCGCCCGGCCCCGGGCTGGCGCGGCGCCCCGTCTTGTCGTCCCAGGTGGCCCCCCGCTCCACCAGCGCCACCTTGGCACCATAGCCTGTCCCGAAGCGCCGGGCCCGGGGTGGCTGAAAACGGGTGGCTTGAAACATGTTGAACCGCCAGCGGTATCAGCCAACTCAGGAAGTGAGTGGATTGGTCAAACGTTGTTGTTTACCACGACATTATGGGTCTTCTCAAACAGGTATCAAATCCGGGAACTCATGGAGTGAGCTTGGAAGTTGCTGTGTTCCCAAGAAACCACGCGACATGCCCTGATTAAACAAAAATAAACAACAAAACATGCTCAACTTAACGCCAAAAGGGTACCGACCTGCAGCTTTCGCTTCCAAGTAAAAATGACATTTGCTTGGTTTTGGTTCATATGTGGTGAGCCTCGCCTTGGCTTATTGAACGTTGTCAGGTAGGTGATTTCAGCTATGGATATGCTCACCAAATGGGTTGAGGATCCAAGTTTGGGGCCATGTTTGGTGCAACAGTCAAGGTGGTTGGGGGGGTGGGGCGCAAAAGGTGATGCTTCCAAACATCGGCTCCCCTACCCTTGGCGACTGAGTGTGCATGCTTGGACGTTGGATGCTTGACTTTGGCTGCTGCAACTGGATGGGATTCCTCTCTGAAAGAGTGGACGCTTTAAAGCGGCAATGGTTTCCTTTGGGTTTCTCAGTCACACCGCTGAGTAGTGCGTCCTATTTTTTTGGACACCTCTATGCCATCTTGGCCTTCCGTCCCGGAGCCTGCGGCGCGCTTGGCAAACGCGCTGCCGCCGCTGCCGCCGCCAATGACAATTACATCGTGGGTGGTCATTGCAAGTCGGGTCCGCGCGGAGTCGCAAGCGGAGGGATCAAGCGGAAGGCGTCGGAAGGAAAGGCTCATCTCACATAGCTGTGCTGCATGTTTGTTTTGCCGGGCTTTGTCTTTATGAAATTTGCGCGCATGACAGTGGATGTCTAACATTTCTAGTCATGAGCTCTTGTCTTTTGAGGAGGAATGCGCGCAAGCAGGAAGTGGCTCAGTCACATCCTCACACGGAAACCGACGAGGTTTGCTTTCGTCCCAAACAAAACAGCTGGTCCAAAATAAGGGGCATGGAAACCGAACTAGGGCAACCGTTCAAATGTTTTTTGTGCGTCAAACAATGCAGTTACCGCAAACTGGAAATGTTGTGCGATCCCAATATCAGTCGCCAGTTGTGTACACATGCCCACAAACATCCTTTAGCCCCAGCTCCCCCCCCCCCACCCGCTGCCCGCTCACCCGGTTGCCTGCTGGACTCGTTTCAGAAGGGGCGCGTTCAGGTTGAAGCCGCCATAGCTGGTTCCGCCCCTGGGATGTTTACCGGTGCCCGCATTCTTGGACCACCCCCATGTGCAGGATATAAGGGGCTAAATAAATACACAATGTGTGTTTGATGGCCATGAGTTGATTTGGTTGTATAATCACACACTTCCACATGGGTGCGTGTTGTTTTGAAGGCACCCTTTCTGCGGTGGTTTTTGTTTAAGGGAAATCAAAGGGGAACCACCAGTTTGACGATCCCTATCTTAAGACACTCCCGCATCTTCCCAAAGAAGAAACAAGCCCAGAAGCTAGCTCGGCTCTACCCGGGCAAAGCTCAAGCTTGGGTCAAGCACAAAGCACAGAAACCATAAGCAAAGAGACATCCTCAAAAATACCCACAAAACGGTGGCAACCAGGCAAACCACCGGGTCCCAAAGAGAATTGTACGAACCCCTCAAAATGCAACCAATTCAATCTCAGAGACCAGCTAGAGGAAAACAACATCTACGGGACATTGGTGGAATTTGCCGGCAATTCATGTCCACGGTGTCCATGGCTTTTAGAAACAGGAACAACTCCCTGGCCGATGGTCGGAGTCGCAGCCTCAGCTCTACTCTAGGACTGAGGCGAGAAGGTGGCAGCCACCTTCATGATGGCCGTCACCTGCCAGAGTTCAAACTACGTCCACAGCTCCCTAAGTGCACATGTGAAGTCTTCGTGAGCCGTGGTGGTTGCAGGGAGTTTAGTCAGTCTTCTAGTTGTTTCTGGGACATTTAGTACTTCCCCTGGTTGTGGGAAACTTAGTGTGTTCTTCCGTGTTTTGTTCCACAGGTACCATACCGGACATCTTGACCGCAAAGCTCGCGTGATAACAAGAACAACAACACAAACACATCGCTGACTATTCAGGGGGCATGAAAAACAAATTTTAGAACCTACAGCGCGTGAAAAGTCGAAATGGGGTCAGGTACTTCGAAACCAAAGCCACGACGAAGAAGTCATCGGGTACTTATTGAGGCCTTTGGAAACAGCTTCTCCGGAGTTTTGGTGCATTGGAATGGAGGTTTGGGCGGAGCTTCCAATTACGCTCAACAACATCCCTAAACCAATCCAAACCGCCAAGTGGGGTCGAACTGGTTGGAAGGTGTTGCCGGGTTGTTTCATTTGCAGTCACAAGTCATCAATGCAAAAATGCCCATGCTGTTGCCATGTTCCTCCTATACCCAGCAGTGGCAATGGAAGAAACATATTGTCCCTTTCTTGGCAGTTGAGCTGAAAATGAACCCCGCACCATGATCATAATAACAACAACAATAAAACGCAGGAGACGCTGGAGGTCAATGTAAAATTCCGAAGCAACAAAGTCTACTAAAAATCCAGCCAACACCATAGTACACAAGAGCACAAAGCCCTTTTGTGATGCTTCAGCCTCTCCGCTACTGACCTCCTTTCTCCCCAGGACTTGATCGTGACTCTCCTGTGCGTGCCAAGGCTTTGGCACTGGGAGGTGTTGGTGTTGGTGTTGGTGTTGTTGTTGGTGTTGGTGTTGTTGTTGTTGTTGTTGTTGTTGTTGTTGTTGTTGTTGTTGTTGTTGTTGTTGTTGTTGTTGTTGCTGTTGCTGTTGCTGTTGCTGTTGCTGTTGCTGTTGCTGTTGCTGTTGCTGTTGTTGTTGTTGTTGTTGTTGTTGTTGTTGTTGTTGTTGTTGTTGTTGTTGCTGTTGCTGTTGCTGTTGCTGTTGCTGTTGCTGTTGCTGTTGCTGTTGCTGTTGCTGCTGTTGTTGCTGTTGTTCGTTGTCGTTGTCGTTGTCGTTGTCGTTGTCGTTGTCGTTGTGTTGTCGTTGTCGTTGTCGTTGTGGTTGTGGTTGTGGTTGTGGTTGTGGTTGTGGTTGTGGTTGTGGTTGTGGTTGTGGTTGTGGTTTGGTTGTCGTTGTGGTTGTGGTTGTGGTTGTGGTTTGGTTCTGGTTCTGGTTCTGGTTCTGGTTCTGGTTGTGGTTGTGGTTGTGGTTGTGGTTGTGGTTGTGGTTGTGGTTGTGGTTGTGGTTGTGGTTGTGGTTGTGGTTGGTGTTGGTGTTGGTGTTGGTGTTGGTGTTGGTGGTGTTGGTGTTGTTGGTGTTGGTGTTGTTGGTGTTGTTGGTGTTGTTGTCGTTGTTGTTGTTGTTGTTGTTGTTGTTGTTGTTGTTGTTGTTGTTGTTGTTGTTGTCGTTGTTGTTGTTGTTGTTGTCGTTGTTGTCGTTGTTGTCGTTGTTGTCGTTGTTGTCGTTGTTGTTGTTGTTGTTGTTGTTGTTGTTGTCGTTGTTGTCGTTGTTGTCGTTGTTGTCGTTGTTGTCGTTGTTGTCGTTGTCGTTGTCGTCGTCGTCGTCGTCGTTGTCGTTGTCGTTGTCGTTGTCGTTGTTGTTGTTGTTGTTGTTGTTGTTGTTGTTGTTGTTGTTGTTGTTGTTGTTGTTGTTGTTGTTGTTGTTGTTGTTGTTGTTGTTGTTGTTGTTGGGTCCTTGCGTTTCCAAGCTGTAAAAAACCGCCCGTTTGAGGGCACCTTGCTTCTCAAAAACCCTCCCTGTCTGCAAGCATCCCCATCCAAAGCAGCGGATTGCTTTTCCTGTGATCTCGAACCTAGGTCCCCCAAAGCGATGTCCAAATGTGTACAGTGGCACGGTGGCACCACTCGCCCTAGGTCCTCGTCAAAATCAGCTGTACATGCAGACCAGGCTAGCATCTAGTCACAAAACAGAGCGTCAAGTGATCATTGGTAGGCCTGCTCCGTGAACGACCACGCAAACAAACCGCAATGCATCTTGTGGCTGTCCTAGCCAAACAGCAACTCGTTCAACTCTCACGCGGCAAAGATGGCCTTGGCTTTGGCATACAGGGCCTTGCCCTGAGCCGTCTTCCCGTTCACTGGGCAAAAGCCCTTGATGCCAAGCTCCTTCCTGGCCTTCTGCACGGCGCTGTTCCAAGCAGAGATGTACTTGTAGGCTTTCTTGCCTGCCGCGCTCTTCTTCTTCGTCACCACTTTCCCACGCTTGTTCATCCTGTCGTCAACTAGTCTTAAACAGTCACATGCTGCTAGTAACCACATCACTAATTTGCTGGTAACACAAACAACTAAGGGCCTAATCCAAAATAACTTAACTGCTGCTATCTCAGGACAAGCTTCATGAGGTCACTCTTGGTCAGCTGGGTTGCCGTCTTCTCCTTCGCGCCCTTGAACACGGCGGTCTTGGCACGCTTGCCCTTCGCAATCTTGCTCACAGCCTTCTTCTTCATGACCTTGGCCTTCATCGCCGGCTTGGTGGCCTTCTTCATGGCAGACTTCATGGCGGATTTCATCACAGCCTTCATGGCAGACTTCATCGGGAGGGCCATGGTGCCTTGATGAGACTAAGGAAACAGAACAAGGCACTGCAACGTTGGCGGGCAAGCTTGAGATTCAAGAAGGCAGCCGGCAGCCGCTTTACTGCACGCTGACCTTTTGCTCACAGCTTGACATGGCCTTCTTTAGCTTTTGCAACTTGCATGCACCTCTCAAATAATGATCAACTCCTGCACCTGCAACATGCACGGTGCTCTATTCTGTGGCATCTCACTCAACTTGTTGCTTGTGATCCTGGCCTAGGTGCGCCGGGCAATGCCCAAATGTGTACAATGGCACAGCGAACCCCAGGCCCATGCCCACAAAATCAGCTGTACATGCCGGGCCGGGCAGCATCAAGCGGGCAATAGGTGGGCGTCAAGTGAGCATCCGCAGGCATACTCCGTGAATGACCACGCAAGCAAACCACCGTGCTGCTCTGACTGCTCTGCCCGAACAGCAACTCTTCCTTCTCTGCTCATGCGGCAAAGATGGCCTTGGCTTTGGCATACAGGGCCTTGCCCTGAGCCGTCTTCCCGTTCACTGGGCAAAAGCCCTTGATGCCAAGCTCCTTCCTGGCCTTCTGCACGGCGGTGTTCCAAGCAGAGATGTACTTGTAGGCTTTCTTGCCTGCCGCGCTCTTCTTCTTCGTCACCACTTTCCCACGCTTGTTCATCCTGTCGTCAACTAGTCTGAAACAGTCACATGCTGCTAGTAACCACATCACTGATTTGCTGGTAACACAAACAACTAAGGGCCTAATCCAAAATAACTGCTGCTATCTCAGGACAAGCTTCATGAGGTCACTCTTGGTCAGCTGGGTTGCCGTCTTCTCCTTCGCGCCCTTGAACACGGCGGTCTTGGCACGCTTGCCCTTCGCAATCTTGCTCACAGCCTTCTTCTTCATGACCTTGGCCTTCATCGCCGGCTTGGTGGCTTTCTTCATGGCAGACTTCATGGCGGATTTCATCACAGCCTTCATGGCAGACTTCATCGGGAGGGCCATGGTGCCTTGATGAGACTAAGGAAACAGAACAAGGCACTGCAACGTTGGCGGGCAAGCTTGAGATTCAAGAAGGCAGCCGGCAGCCGCTGTACTGCACGCTGACCTTTTGCTCACAGCTTGACATTACCCTTCTTTAGCTTTTGCAACTTGCATGCACCTCTCAAATAATGATCACCTCCTGCACCTGCAACATGCACGGTGCTCTATTCTGTGGCATCTCACTCAACTTTTTGCTTGTGATCCTGGCCTAGGTGCGCCGGGCAATGCCCAAATGTGTACAATGGCACAGCGAACCCCAGGCCCATGCCCACAAAATCAGCTGTACATGCCGGGCCGGGCAGCATCAAGTGGGCAATAGGTGAGCGTCAAGTGAGCATCCGCAGGCATACTCCGTGAATGACCACGCAAGCAAACCACCGTGCTGCTCTGACTGCTCTGCCCGAACAGCAACTCTTCCTTCTCTGCTCATGCGGCAAAGATGGCCTTGGCTTTGGCATACAGGGCCTTGCCCTGAGCCGTCTTCCCGTTCACTGGGCAAAAGCCCTTGATGCCAAGCTCCTTCCTGGCCTTCTGCACGGCGGTGTTCCAAGCAGAGATGTACTTGTAGGCTTTCTTGCCTGCCGCGCTCTTCTTCTTCGTCACCACTTTCCCACGCTTGTTCATCCTGTCGTCAACTAGTCTGAAACAGTCACATGCTGCTAGTAACCACATCACTGATTTGCTGGTAACACAAACAACTAAGGGCCTAATCAAAAAACATGCTGCTATCTCAGGACAAGCTTCATGAGGTCACTCTTGGTCAGCTGGGTTGCCGTCTTCTCCTTCGCGCCCTTGAACACGGCGGTCTTGGCACGCTTGCCCTTCGCAATCTTGCTCACAGCCTTCTTCTTCATGACCTTGGCCTTCATCGCCGGCTTGGTGGCCTTCTTCATGGCAGACTTCATGGCGGATTTCATCACGGCCTTCATGGCAGACTTCATCGGGAGGGCCATGGTGCCTTGATGAGACTAAGGAAACAGAACAAGGCACTGCAACGTTGGCGGGCAAGCTTGAGATTCAAGAAGGCAGCCGGCAGCCGCTTTACTGCACGCTGACCTTTTGCTCACAGCTTGACATGGCCTTCTTTAGCTTTTGCAACTTGCATGCACCTCTCAAATAATGATCAACTCCTGTACCTGCAACATGCACGGTGCTCTATTCTGTGGCATCTCACTCAACTTTTTGCTTGTGATCCTGGCCTAGGTGCGCCGGGCAATGCCCAAATGTGTACAATGGCACAGCGAACCCCAGGCCCATGCCCACAAAATCAGCTGTACATGCCGGGCCGGGCAGCATCAAGTGGGCAATAGGTGAGCGTCAAGTGAGCATCCGCAGGCATACTCCGTGAATGACCACGCAAGCAAACCACCGTGCTGCTCTGACTGCTCTGCCCGAACAGCAACTCTTCCTTCTCTGCTCATGCGGCAAAGATGGCCTTGGCTTTGGCATACAGGGCCTTGCCCTGAGCCGTCTTCCCGTTCACTGGGCAAAAGCCCTTGATGCCAAGCTCCTTCCTGGCCTTCTGCACGGCGGTGTTCCAAGCAGAGATGTACTTGTAGGCTTTCTTGCCTGCCGCGCTCTTCTTCTTCGTCACCACTTTCCCACGCTTGTTCATCCTGTCGTCAACTAGTCTTAAACAGTCACATGCTGCTAGTAACCACATCACTGATTTGCTGGTAACACAAACAACTAAGGGCCTAATCCAAAATAACTTAACTGCTGCTATCTCAGGACAAGCTTCATGAGGTCACTCTTGGTCAGCTGGGTTGCCGTCTTCTCCTTCGCGCCCTTGAACACGGCGGTCTTGGCACGCTTGCCCTTCGCAATCTTGCTCACAGCCTTCTTCTTCATGACCTTGGCCTTCATCGCCGGCTTGGTGCCTTTCTTCATGGCAGACTTCATGGCGGATTTCATCACAGCCTTCATGGCAGACTTCATCGGGAGGGCCATGGTGCCTTGATGAGACTAAGGAAACAGAACAAGGCACTGCAACGTTGGCGGGCAAGCTTGAGATTCAAGAAGGCAGCCGGCAGCCGCTGTACTCCACGCTGACCTTTTGCTCACAGCTTGACATTACCCTTCTTTAGCTTTTGCAACTTGCATGCACCTCTCAAATAATGATCACCTCCTGCACCCGCAACATGCACGGTGCTCTATTCTGTGGCATCTCACTCAACTTTTTGCTTGTGATCCTGGCCTAGGTGCGCCGGGCAATGCCCAAATGTGTACAATGGCACAGCGAACCCCAGGCCCATGCCCACAAAATCAGCTGTACATGCCGGGCCGGGCAGCATCAAGTGGGCAATAGGTGAGCGTCAAGTGAGCATCCGCAGGCATACTCCGTGAATGACCACGCAAGCAAACCACCGTGCTGCTCTGACTGCTCTGCCCGAACAGCAACTCTTCCTTCTCTGCTCATGCGGCAAAGATGGCCTTGGCTTTGGCATACAGGGCCTTGCCCTGAGCCGTCTTCCCGTTCACTGGGCAAAAGCCCTTGATGCCAAGCTCCTTCCTGGCCTTCTGCACGGCGGTGTTCCAAGCAGAGATGTACTTGTAGGCTTTCTTGCCTGCCGCGCTCTTCTTCTTCGTCACCACTTTCCCACGCTTGTTCATCCTGTCGTCAACTAGTCTTAAACAGTCACATGCTGCTAGTAACCACATCACTGATTTGCTGGTAACACAAACAACTAAGGGCCTAATCCAAAATAACTTAACTGCTGCTATCTCAGGACAAGCTTCATGAGGTCACTCTTGGTCAGCTGGGTTGCCGTCTTCTCCTTCGCGCCCTTGAACACGGCGGTCTTGGCACGCTTGCCCTTCGCAATCTTGCTCACAGCCTTCTTCTTCATGACCTTGGCCTTCATCGCCGGCTTGGTGCCTTTCTTCATGGCAGACTTCATGGCGGATTTCATCACAGCCTTCATGGCAGACTTCATCGGGAGGGCCATGGTGCCTTGATGAGACTAAGGAAACAGAACAAGGCACTGCAACGTTGGCGGGCAAGCTTGAGATTCAAGAAGGCAGCCGGCAGCCGCTGTACTGCACGCTGACCTTTTGCTCACAGCTTGACATTACCCTTCTTTAGCTTTTGCAACTTGCATGCACCTCTCAAATAATGATCACCTCCTGCACCTGCAACATGCACGGTGCTCTATTCTGTGGCATCTCACTCAACTTTTTGCTTGTGATCCTGGCCTAGGTGCGCCGGGCAATGCCCAAATGTGTACAATGGCACAGCGAACCCCAGGCCCATGCCCACAAAATCAGCTGTACATGCCGGGCCGGGCAGCATCAAGTGGGCAATAGGTGAGCGTCAAGTGAGCATCCGCATGCATACTCCGTGAATGACCACGCAAGCAAACCACCGTGCTGCTCTGACTGCTCTGCCCGAACAGCAACTCTTCCTTCTCTGCTCATGCGGCAAAGATGGCCTTGGCTTTGGCATACAGGGCCTTGCCCTGAGCCGTCTTCCCGTTCACTGGGCAAAAGCCCTTGATGCCAAGCTCCTTCCTGGCCTTCTGCACGGCGGTGTTCCAAGCAGAGATGTACTTGTAGGCTTTCTTGCCTGCCGCGCTCTTCTTCTTCGTCACCACTTTCCCACGCTTGTTCATCCTGTCGTCAACTAGTCTTAAACAGTCACATGCTGCTAGTGACCACATCACTGATTTGCTGGTAACACAAACAACTAAGGGCCTAATCAAAAAACATGCTGCTATCTCAGGACAAGCTTCATGAGGTCACTCTTGGTCAGCTGGGTTGCCGTCTTCTCCTTCGCGCCCTTGAACACGGCGGTCTTGGCACGCTTGCCCTTCGCAATCTTGCTCACAGCCTTCTTCTTCATGACCTTGGCCTTCATCGCCGGCTTGGTGGCCTTCTTCATGGCAGACTTCATGGCGGATTTCATCACAGCCTTCATGGCAGACTTCATCGGGAGGGCCATGGTGCCTTGATGAGACTGAGGAAACAGAACAAGGCACTGCAACGGTGGCGGGCAAGCTTGAGATTGACAAGGCGGCCGAACGTCGAATTCCTCAACTGGCCTCGCCTCTGGCATCCGGGACCAACCACACCCTTGCTTCCGACATAGTATCCTGCAGTTCTCCTTAATTAAATCATTCCCGCCCTCCCCCCCCAAAATGGAAGCCCAGCATGGGAGAAGTGTTTGTCCCAAGGTGATGCTTGGAACAGAAGATGGCTGGATCCAAGGAGTATTTATAGTTTCTGATTGATTGATACGGAGGGTGGCCCGTTCCAAGAGGGAATCCTTCACTTTTGGCTTATGCCCGCCACGTTTACTAATCGAGTCAACATTAGCTCTAATCCCGATCGAGAAGCTTCACCCAGGGGCTGACTGATTGGCTGTGTCTACACAAGCCGCTGGCTTTGACCAGCGGCAGAGATATCCGACCTCTCCAAGTCAGAGGCTTGGATAGATCACCACCCATGTGGATGAGAGTTACCACATGCCCTTCCCAACTCTGGGGGTGTCCTTTTTTTGAGGGTACCTTTTGGTTAGTTGAATAGGAGATCCAAAGGAAAACCCAGCCATTTTGGGGGTCTCCTAGAAAAAGAGACACGGCCACAAAGTCCAGAAACTGGGTGGCAGCTCACCTAAGGCTGCCTTTTGGGCAAAAATATATGGGTTCCTTAAATGGCCAATAAAATCTGAATCCAAGCCAGTGGAACCCATCTATCTCTAAGCAATCTAACCTGGGCTGTCCTCGAATTCCCTGCTAAAAGTTTAGTGTGTCAAATGGAAACCCGCACAAACCAAGGAACAGGATGGCTGGGAGCCACCTAACCGATCAAAACGACACCAAACTGGTTGGACAAGTCTTCGTCCAAAGCTCCCGAAAGCGCCTGGGTCTCGCTGCCCTCGCCGAGCTTGATCTCCTGGGAATGGCAACACAAGAATCGTCCAGGTGGGAATATGGGCACTCGTCCTCGAGAGGGTACCCCTTTTGGGCTTGTTGTAAAGAAAAGACAACAGAAACACCGAGGGTTCTTGGGGTTGTTTTTTTTACAGGGAAACCAAGAGGAACGCCACGTGGTTTGGAGGTACCCAATTTGACACATACCCGTTTGGGATCCGTTTGGGGGGTTTGTGAGTTGAGGGTACCTTTTTCACCCTGGCTTAAAGGCAAGCCAGCAGGAAAACCACATTTTGGGGAGGGGGGGGAGGGGGAAACGGCTATTTTGATACAATGCCATACTATCATATTGACCTTCTGGTGGGTTCATTTTCGGGGGATTGTTCTGATCAATCAGTATGCTTCTCCGGATGAATCAAAAGCTAATATGACCACCGGAGCAATGCAAGTTATATAAGGGGCAAAATGATATCGAATAACGCGCATGATGTTTGCATGAGTATGACTTAACGTAGCTTTAACGTACACCACAACCCAATCTACTTGTTTCTGCCCTTATCGTAGGTACTCTTCCATAGCTATTGAATGCCAATCTCCCTTGCCCCAAGGACTTGGACACTATGAGGCCATGGCTTAAATTTGACCTTTCGGGGAAACCACATGGTCAAAAGGTCGGCTTTGGGCAACTGAGTAAGTAAAGGTTTGGAAGGGATTGAATATTCGAATGTTAATATGTGAATTGGGGAATCTTTGGCGGACATCGTGCGTCACTGGCCCAAAGTTAACGCAAAAAGAGAGGATCAGCCTTCATTGTCCACTCAAAAATTGGTGGTAGGCAAAGATACAAACCCCGGTCCCAACATCTGGTCCTGGTACATGTCGATGGACACTGACCTCCCAGCAGCTTTCAAGTCAGTTCGGCTGTTTCAATCGAAACTAAAGGAAGCCAGACCAATTGTTTGCCCTTGCGGTCTCATTCTCGTTCAAAGGCTCGGAGCGTCTCGGAGCACTGGATGGCTTGGCTGCTGGATGGAAGCAACCGACTCTGTCAGCTTCGGCAAATCAAGGGAATGGGTGCTCAAATCGGTCTGGGCAACATAGATGCCCAGTCAACTAATGAACATGTCCAGGACTCAGATAACCAAAGCTCGCGTGGCCTCCTATCCCAGGCCCAGAAGCCACCGGCCTATCCCAACCACTCCTCAAAACTAAGCCACCACCACATGGAGGGCTCCGACCCCGAGCTGCCGGAATCCGCTTCTGTGGATATTGCCGGTAAATCGCAGCCACTGCTTGTTTAAAAAGCAAAAATGACGGCTCCGTAGTGAACCACAGAACCAACTGACCAAAACCCAACCCAACCCAACCCAACCAACCAACGCCTGCCAGGGTTACACACCCGTTCCACCAACCCACCAACCCAACCCAACCCACCAACCAACCCAACCCAACCACCGTCCAGTCACGCCAGTCTCACATCACACACGGCCCCCGCCGCTCGGTGGTGAGGACCTCCGTCTTGGCGCCCATGGCCTGCCGCACCTCCGCCACCACGCCCTGGATCTTGAGGACTCGAGGACTCGATGGGTCTGGGTGAATTGTAATATTTCACCCACCTGAACTAAGTTGGTTAGGGGGATGATTACTCCCCACATAAACCACCATTTGGGGTGAGGTCGCGTGAGGTCGTTATAATTCACCCAAATGGATACGGCGGTCTTGTCACCAGGGCTGTGCTTGGAATCCAAAGGGGGCGGTGATACAACCCAAAGGGCCTCCCAAACACGAGCCATATATAAAGAGGGGATTCCCAAAAGTATCACGGAAGTGGGGATAAACTCCACTTGTGATCCCTACAACCCTATTGAGGTGCCTTGGCTGGGTGGTTGGGAGTTTTTGGACTTGCACGCTGGTTCTTGAAAAACGTGGGGAAACCAGGGATCCGAAATTGAAGTGGGTCTTGCAGGTCTGAGATGGGCTTGTCTTGCTCGAGGGTACCCTTGGTTGGTCTGAAGGGAAAAAACAACAGAAAAAAAAAAGAAAAAAGAAAAAGAGAAAAACAAAAAACGCGGGGTCCCATTCACAAACCACCCATTTCCCCTCGTTTTGGCTGCTATGTTCCGAAGAAGGCATACTGAACTAACAGAATGGGGAGGGTACATCAAGCAATTCCTCCCCAAGCCAGCGGAACCCATTTGGAAGAACCTGAACTTAGTGTCCCCTGAGCTAAGTCCTCCCGCGCCTGCTTGAAGTCCACGGTCATCCCACCCTGGCACTGCGCCAACCGAAGCAGGCGCCCCAGGGTGGTCCTGGTGCCAACAAAAAAACGCGGAAGGCAACCCCCTAGGACAAGATGTGTGTAGCATGCTGCCCATGGGTCGCCCAAAGGCCGAATTTCCCCGCAGAGTGCCCTTTGGGTTGCCCTCATGCGGTGCCCTGGGTGGTGGCGGTGGCTCTCGCGATGAGCTATTCTGTTTTTGCTGAGGGTCTGGGGCGTGCAAAAGGCCAGTTGTGCCTTTCTTCCCTTTCAGTTCCACGGGTGGCCTGTCTAGATCAATCTGATTGAGCATAGAGGGAGTCCACTGGTCTCATTCTGAATCGAAGCATTCAGCCAGTGGATGCCATGGATTTTTAACCAATAGGATACCTAGCTTCAGCGGTATCCTTGGAAGTGTTTGTGGTTGCCCCTTTCAGGATAGTCTCGCAATGTTGACCTCAGGGTTGTGAAGCGCCACGGTGTTGTACATGATGTGTGCAACGCACCTTGCTCTGTTCCTTGATCCCGATTGAAATGATGTTACATTTTACGGTTCACTGAACATGGACCAGAAAGCTGAGGGAGTGTTGGGGCCTAGGAACTCTCAAAGAGCCAAGTACACCTGCAATACCCTTGCCGGGAGATCCTAGAAAAAAAACAATTTGTTGGGCGGGGCCACTATTTTAAGACACACAATTTTGTGGGGTCCAGCGTTTTCTTGATTTTTGTATGTTTTTTTTTGGGGGGGGATAAATTGCCCTTCAGCTTTGTCGGCTTCGGCTCCGAACGAGCGCGCGCTGACCAAAGCCGGTCCCGAAGGGCGCTTTGATCTCGCACCCGCTGTCAGTGCCCCACAGGATGTAGGTCGCCTATCACAGGGTCGAGATAGGCGTAGGTACGTATGCGTTTCTCGATTCTTTTCTTTTCTCCACTTTTTTGGGGGCAGGGGCGGGTGGGGGGGGGGGAAGCGGGAAGGATTTTGAAGGGAAGGGGAACCAAGCATTTTGGGGTGGTGTTCACCAGCAATTCTCGGGGGCCCTGTTTTTGAGCAGCCACGCCCGCATGTGTCCGCATCGGACCCCAAGCTGGCTGGCAGTTTGTATGCTCGTTGTGGGTTCCTTTTGATTACAGAAAAGGGCCCACCGAAAGGAAGAAACAAGTGGACGGCGACTCTGAATGAGCGCCTATTGATTTGATCGGGAAGCAAGTCACCGAGCTCAACTGACACTCAAGAAACCTACATCTAGGTTTTTTGCGCGAGATCCTTTGGTGAGCGTGGGGATTTGATTTCTGTCCAAGGATCTGGAGGAGGTTCCCTCCCATTTTTGGGAGCCAGTGGAGCCAAAGCGGCCGCCCGCTAGCTGGTTCTTTGGGCCACTCGCCTGCATGGTCTCCTCGGTTTGCGCCACCTGGCTCAGGGCTCAGGTGTTGTCGGAAGGGCTGAAGCTCATCCCCGTTCTGCTCTTGGGGGGTTCCACATACCTGGTAAGACACAAGCGTCGGCAAACCCCTCAGACCCATCCTAGGTGTCCTGTTAGTACAGTAAATCAGTTCGACCCAGGAAATCAGCGGAATCCAGCTTGGTGCAACCAAACCGACCTTTTCAGGACATCTATGCCCACCGCCCCGTTGGTCCACATAGAGGGACATATGTGCGGGCGTATCTTTTTAGAGGGTAGCTTTTAGTTATACGGGCCTAGATAATTCTCGAAGTCTGGGGTACCATGAAACTGTATTTAGGCACAATTCTAAAAGCATACCACTGCTGTTGCTTCTTAATAAGAACTTATAATGAATCGCTTCTGGGATCATAAGAATTAGACAAGGTTCCTTCATGACTCACTTCCTGAGTGGATTGGCAAAACCAAAAGTCCAAACCTTTTTAATTTCCCACTAAAGCGGCCCAAACCCCTTAACAAAAGTGACTCATTGGTCCATGAACCCAGGGACCACATGGACCCAAACACGCCTGGGACCTCCGATTCCGGGCCTGTTGGTTCAGCTTCTCAATGGCGGCGCCCCCAGGCAACGGCACACTCACCTCGCTCAGGCACACCCGAGCGCCGGCAGACCCGGGGGGGGGGGGGGAAGAAACAGCAGCCCTTGTTCTGGAGAAACGAACTGGCCTGGATGTGGCGAATCCGTGGATCATTTTTTGGAAGGATAGTGAAAGAGAAGTGAATGATTGCGAATGGACCGACGGGGGGGAAGAACGGGTTATTTCCACAAAAAAACACATAGCCAAACTCTAGGCACAAAAGGAAGTACTTCAAACGTGACTCTAGTCGCGCCCAGGCTGCCTGGATGACTCTGCCCGGGCCCTTCTGCTACGTCCAAGGTTATGATTCTTCTCAGTATTCAACAACTGTCCAGCTGAATATCTGCTTCGCCATGGGTCAAAATCCCATACCCCCAGTGAACATCCCAATCCCAACCAAAATAGACTAAAATGTGTGTTGCACCTACCGAAAATAGTACCATTGGTTTTGACCCACAGCCACTTTGCTAAAATTCCTCTTTGCACTCGCTGACATTCTTTGAAGCAAGTGCTTTGCAGCGGCAAGCTTTGGCCTTTCCTGTAGTGCTATACATGGTCCACGCACCCATCCACAATCTAGTGAATGCGTGCCTGCAAAACGGCTGGTACTCGGTGGCTATGCAAAACCGAGAACAGAATCAAAAGTGCACAAATCCGACAATGGAAGCCGTTTTGCCCAAGGAAAAGCCCGCTGATTAGCAGGTTATGAGCCCAAAGGCGGCGAGATGATGGCCCGGCGCCGCAATGGCAAGGGCCGTGGACCAGGTGATGGTCCGGAAGAACGAGAAGGCCCGGGAGCTCCAGAAGGGCAAGATCCTGGGACCCCGCTCCCGCTGATGGACGCCGAAGAGCCGGTGATCACGGAGGCGAGCTCGCAAGGACGTGATGGTCAAGAAAAGGAGACGGGCCAATCGGGGCTCGGGAATGGGTCGCTGGAGGAGGGTCGGGGTCTGGAGCTGGTGGGTCAAGAAATGGTGGTCCATAGCGCTACAACAAGGACGCCGGCACCGAGGCGATCGGAAGATGTGGGGCCAAGGAATTTGTGGCCTGCAGCTACGGCATCGGGGAACCCCTGGGCATCGTCTGCGGATCCTGGTCGAGGACAAGGAGACCTTCAGAGGTGGAGTGGGGGACCTCAAGGAGAACCGGAGGTGTATGGGCCGCTCTTCACCCGGGAGCAGCTGGAGTACCTGGAAAGGTGGGACAGGCCTGGAGGCCTGGTGAATTTGAGCTCAGCAGCAGCAGTTCAGGAGCCAACACTGAGAAGGCCGGAGTTCCTGGAGAAAGAGGAGGCTACACCACAAGCAGGACCAGATGGAGGCGCCCGACATCTACGACGGCATGATCAGGTGCAGGAGTACCTCTTGATGGAGATACAGAGGCTCAGAGCTGAGAATGACAGGCTCAGAAAGGGCAATCAGTCTGAGGAGACCTACGTGACGCCAGACGTCGAGGTGGAGAAGCGGGGACAAGCACGAGGGCCCGATCCAGGACATCGCGACGGCGAACCAGAGGAACGAAGACGAGAGAAAAGTCAGGAGCCTTCGGAGGAGCTGATCAAGGATGAGCAGACAACGGATGGGAACGCCCAGCTCAACATCATCTTGAAGCTCATGGAGGGTATGCAGCAGATCCAGAAGAAGATCATGAACGGTGGCAACAACCACACGGGCGAGGAAGAGAATGCGGAGGTGGTGAAGTCGGCGGTGGAGCTGCCGATGCTGCCGGAGCTGAGCGCGGATACCGGCCCGATCGACCTTCAAGATTGGTTGACGATGGTTGGCCCCGTGATGGCGGACCTCTCGGACACCAGCCAAGAATGGTGGGAGCTGATGCTGAAGCACACCAAGAAGTGGTACGACAAGTACATGACGGAGCCGCCCTTGCAGAGGTTGCTGCTGACTCCAACACCTCCGAGCGAGGTGTGCAATGGAAGATGGAGGCGGGTGGAGCGTCGGGCGGTGACCTTGCTCATGAAGGCCCTGCCGGATCAGGTCAAAGAGGAGCTGATAGCGACTAAGAGCCTGGACGTGTTCTCTTTGATCTGCAGGCTGATGCTGCTGTACCAGCCCGGCGGAGTGGCGGAAAGATCGGCCATTCTCAAGAACCTGGAGCAGCCCCAGGAAGCGACGAGCATTCAGGCGGCGGTTCAGGGAATCAGGAGGTGGCTTCGATGGAGGCGGAGGGCGGAAGAGATAGGCGTCTCGCTTCCAGATCCGTCGGTGTTGAACAGAGGTTTGCAGAGGCTGACGAAGAAGGTTCTGGAGAACAACAAGGACCTGAACTTCAAGATCAGCCTGGCCAGATCAACCTTGCAGGTGGATACGGTGCCGAACTACAGCACCATCGGCACATACTGCGAGCATCTCCTGTCGGAGCTGGAGCAGCTGGTCCACACAGAGAAGAAGGTCGCAAAGGCCACGGACGCCGACAGCAAGGTGAAGAAATTCGAGGGAGCTGGAGCTGGATATGGATATGGAGGTGGAAAAGGAGGAGAATCCCGGCCTCCAAGAAAGGAGGGAGAGGCGCGAGAGAGAAAGCCTTGCCGGTACTACCTCACGGATGTTGGATGCAGAAGAGGTCGGCAATGCACCTTTGCCCACGACGCGAAGGACGACAAGAACAGATGCTACGAGTGCGGTGCCACGGACCACTACCGCAAGGACTGCACAAGGAAGCAGCAGGAGAAGACACCGGGCAACAAGATGGACAAGAGCCCTGGGAAGATCGCCAAGGTGTCAGAGGTCGAAGATGAGGAGAACAATCGCCAGGAGGGTGATCAAGAGGAGACGTCATCGGCATCTACGGCTACCTTGAAAGGGGGCGCCAAGAACGCCAAGGACGGGAATGAAGGAGACGGTCTGCAATCGGTCTTGGAGGAGGCTGGAAAGATGCTGAGGTCCCTGAACATCAAGGCTTCAGCAGCGACGGATCGCAGAGAGAGGGAGGACCGGATGAATGACCTTCAGAAGCAGCTCGATCAGATGCGCAAGATGAGGGCTCTGAGGTTCGCGAAGGTGTCGAAGATCGACTACCAGCACGAGTATGGCCTGCTGGACTCAGGAGCTACGCACTCAATGAGGGGTGCATGCCCAGGAGACGACGTGGAGAACCTGGAAAAGATTCAGGTGGAGCTGGCGGGAGGAGAAAAGAAGGAGCTGCTCATGACGGCCGGGAAGGTCATCATCCACGAGGACAGAGATGTGCAGCCCATCGTACCTCTGGGCTTGCTCATAGAGAAGATGGGATGTGAGGTGACGTGGACAAAGAAGGGAGCTTGCCGATTGAGGCACCCAACCATGGGCGAGATCCCGGTTCAAACAAATGCGGGTTGCCCGGAGGTGGAGAAAGGCGTTGCTCTTGCCCTGATAGATGCCTTGGAGGAGCTTGAGGAGGGAAGGGACGCCAAGCTAAGCAGGATCAAAGAGGAGGACCGGGTGGTGGAGCTGATCAGAAGCGAAAGAGCCTTCAATGGAGTTCCGGGTGAGGTGATGGAGAAGGTGGTGGTTGCCCCGGCCAAGGACCTGAGCGGACTCCCCTTGAACAGATCCCGGAGGAGGAAACTTCAAGAAGGTTTTGTGGTTCACTTGTACGCCGGCGAGGAAGAAGGCTACACCCTCAGTCGGGCTCTTAAGGAGGTTGGAGGAGACAAGACAAGATTGGTGGAGATCGACCTGAAGAGAGGAGCCGATCACGACATGATGAAGGACGAGGTCTACGCGGCGTTGATGGGCGCGGCCTTTAACGGCCTGGTGCTTGGAGTTGTGGGTGGTCCGAACTGCCGCACCCGGAGCGTGCTACGACACTATCCTCTGCCAGCTGGGAAGCCAAGGCCGGTGCGGGGGGTGGCTCCAGAGCATTGGTTTGGCCTGCCTGGCCTCGATGAGGAGGAGAAGAGACAGGTCTGGGAAGACGACGTTCTCATGTACCGCATGATCATGCTCTACTGTGCGGCGGAAGAAGGAAGAAAGAATCGTGGACTTCGTGGAGCAGCGAAGACGGAGGTGGCATTCCTGCTGGAGCAACCCGACGTTCCGCAGTACATGCCAGATTGCGGATCCTGGTGGAGGACGGGCAACTTCCGAGACCTTCGGGACCAGCATGGGTTGGTGGAGTATAGTTTTCGGCAAGGAGACTATGGCGGTGTGGCGGTCAAGCCGACGAGGGTGGTCACGAACCTCCAGCTGAGCATGCCGGCGACCCGGTCAACTACGGCGACTACGAGAGAGGAGTCTGCGGTGAGGTCATCGGCGACGTTATCCCGATGGGCACCGGGCATGATGAAGGAGGTTGCAAGAGCGCTGCAGGAGGAAGTCTTTGGGAGGCCAGAGAAGATGTGCAAGCTGAGTTGGCGCGAACATCTGCTACATGGGCATACTCCCTTTCGCCGGGACTGCCGAGTATGTCAGGAAGCATCAGCAAAGGGGAGGAGACATTGCAAGGTCGACTATCCCGAGGCGGCGGTGTTGAGTGTGGATCTCAGCGGACCGTACAAGCTGGGCAAGGACATCAACGACGCTACGTCGAGGTACTTCCTCATCGGAACGTACACATGGCCTTCGGAGGAGGAGCAGAAGGAGTTCTTCCCAAAGGAGGATGGAGGAGAAGCAGACGATGAGGCAGACCTGCCAGAAATCGAGGAAGGAGAAAAAGAGGAGGATGAAAAGGAAAAGGAAGAAAGGGAGAAGGAGGACAAGGAAGAAGGAGAGGAGCCGCAGGATGAGAAGGAAGAGGAGAAGCGAGCTAAGGAAGCTTGTGGCCCACCGAGACCATTGAAAGTGATCGTGATGGTGGTGCCGCTGCCGGACAAAAGGGGAAAGACGGTGATGGAGGGGATCCAGCACCTGTACATCAAGCTGAAGAGACAGGGATACCCCATCCAGCGGCTACACTCCGATAGGGGGAAGGAATTCCTCAACCATGGTCTTCGAAGATGGTGCTTGGTGCGGGAGGTGGAAAAGACCACGACAAGTGCAGACTCTCCCCAGGAGAATGGAAGGGCG